AACTTTATTCTTGACGTAAATTTTTACGAATCTAGGTGATTGCAACAGCTATGTTGCACACCTTAAAAACTTGAAATTAAGGACGCAAATAATTTGCGAATAAAATTGAAAGTTATTTGACGTGAAAGTATTTTTACCCATATGAATCTTCGCAGAAAATTAGATATCATTCACGTTCACTTCTTATGAAACCACCAGGATTGGAATAGTTCGGATGCCAACAGCAGAGATCACCTCTAAAATTCTTCCTAGGCAACGACTTAAAAATATGCAATGCCGGTAGCAGACCCACATTGATTACTAGACTTAAAGAGGACTTGCAATGGATGGCAAAGGCGAAGCTATCCACTTCTGATCACAGAAGAATTAAGAGCCAACCGGAGCCGCAGATAAATAAACTGGACGGCATACAGTGATGTGTTTGAAGTAAATATACGGAACCTATATCACAAAGTAAACCATCAGATTGTATGGAGCTAGAAACTATGTTAAAAAGACACAATGCCAAATGGGGGGAATTTTCGAATGATTTTGTGGTAAAAGTAGAGTAAATTTTTTACCGAATTGAATTATTTATTTTATCCAGGATAGGAAAAAGGACCTCCTTCCTGCTAAAGGCGATGGGGAAAATTAAATAATGATAAAGGAATCAGGTCAAACATGTTGAATATAATACGCGAAGGGAAAAAGGAAAGAGTTGCCACCTGTTGAACAACTCAACTCAAATTATTTTAATAATCAATACCATCATGTCCGCACCGTTCGCTCGATCTGCCAAAATGAAGTGTCATTTTAAAAGCCTTGGACTGTAGATGTGCCATAAGGTTTTAATTTTTTGAAAAGAGTTGCCACCCTTTACAAAATTATATTAAATCTACTTAAAAAAATAAATCAATGATTACAATCGAAATAGTTTTGGAAAGTTTCTTAGCTGAACTATGGGAGGGTTGCCACCTGTTTAAAAGACATGTTAGGTAAGAGAAATATGTTTCACCATATGGGTGCCAAACAAAAGGGGTTTCAGAAAGAAGTAGTTTAAAAATATTTTGAAGAGAGTTGCCACCTGCTTGAAATGTAGAATTTAGTTTACTTATACACGACAAGTTATACGAAATATCAAAATATGGATGTCAAAGGAAGGAGTGTTAAGAAATCTTTAGTTTAAATGCTAAGAATATTTTTGAAGTGTTGGAAGAGGGTTGTCGCCTGTTTAAAAAGTTAAATTCAAATTATTTTATAAGTTAAATGAATTACGAAAATATGGATATCAATCGAACGGGGTTTGGTAATTTTTTTATTTCTGAACTGTATTTAGCGAGGTTGCAAAATGTTTGAAAAATAAAATTCCACTTAATTCGTCAGTTAATTAAAATATGTATCGCAGTGTCCGGCAAAGGAGAGTTAGCAAGGATTAAACTTGAAAATACTTTTGAAGACGGCTGCCACCTGTTTGAAAGGTCTAACTCAATTAACTAATTCGAAAGGTATATCGACTGCTGAGTGGAAGATCGACCTATCTCGGCAGCCAATTCGAAAACGCCCAATCTCAAAAAACCTTTCAAGAACGCCCTATTTCAGAACTTTATTGAAAAACACCCTATCTCAGAATTTAGTTGCAGAACGCCCTATCTTAGAACTCGGTTCAAAAACGCCCTAGCTCACTTCAGAATGTATTGAAAATGTGCTGATATATGGCGTTTTTGAATCGGCAGCTGAGATAGGGCGTTTTTAAAACGAATTCTGAGATAGGGCGCTCTTCAACCAAATTATTAAATAGGGCGCTCTTGAAAAGTTTTTTGAGATAGGGCGTTTTCGAACTGGCTGCCGAGATAGGTCGATCTTCCACTCAGCAGTCGATATGAAATATAAAAATACCATAGCCAAACGAAAAAAAGTTAAGAAATCTTAAGTTTGAACATTTGGAATATTTGAAGGGGGTTGCCACGTGTTTAAACAGTTACATTCGAATTATTCAATAAGTTGGATGAATTATTAGAAGATGCGTAAACATCGAAATAGGTTTGGAAGGGCTTTGTTCCTGACCTTTATTTAGGAGGGTTGCCGTTTGTTCGAACAACCAAATTCGAATTAGTTAATGAGTTTATTGAAGTACATGTGCATCACAATTTTAGACAAAAGAGATTTATGAAGGAGATTTTAGTTTGGGAATACTTTTGATAGGGAATTTCCAAAATGAGAGGTCAAATTAAAGACCTTACCAGTAGATGTGTAGTAAAGTTTTTATTTTTTTTTTTAATTAAGAACTTTTTTAATCGGTATGGGGTGATTTGAAATTTGATGAAATACCTGACTGCGCTTCAGTGGCACACGGATCTCTTATAACTCTGACTAACATTTGGAATATTTTTTAAGTTTTTGAAATTAAGTTTTGGGCGTTTAAACGCCACGCAGGTTCACTGGTTAAAAATAATTTAGTAAAACAATTAGTTAGAGCTTGTCAATATGTGAGTGTCCTATAGTTATCATAAGCACTGTATGTAAGTATGTACGTATGTTTGTTTATTCAGATATTTTGTTTTTCAAAAGTATATTTATCTCTAATGTTTTCTTATGTACATATGTACATACATATGTGCTTGTGTACTATGTCGCAAGTAAGTAATGCTTTCGATAAATTTATCACAGAATTAGTTGTGTATAAATATCAATAAAATTAAGCACGTCCGTCAAAAAGTAATAAAAATAATGTTTCTCAAGGGAAAGGCGTTGAAATTATAAATTAAAGCTTCAGTGATGTGTTATGTGCTTGATGGTAATACTAAAGTATAAATCATTATGCCCATATAAAGTTCAGTAGCAAGTTTTTGCAGCTTACTAAATATTTTCAAAATATACAAAACATAATCCTAATGTGCTCATTAAAGTACTAGCAAATGTTTACCTTTTGATTGACGGTCCACGAACAAAGATAATTGAGGCTCTTATTATATAAAACATCCGCGCTTCCTTGGAAATGAACTCCGCCATAAAGCTTTTTCTAAGACACGCGGATATTTCCAAGATTTTCTGCAGCGAAGTCGTTTCAAGCCTATACATTAACAATGACTTATCTGGAGTGCGATGTGGACTAGTGGAGCTTCTGCGTACTCTGGGCAACGTGAGCAATCCATGTGCAAGATGCGGTAACCAACTCGCTAGGAGCCCTGATCCATGGCAGAAAGAGAGGAAACTTTAGTGGGTGCGTGTCTTTTAGCAAGTTCTGGATGTAGGCTGAGTTTAAAACTCGCCATATAAAAACCTCTTGCAATGTAGATCCCGAACAAATGTTCAGTGGCGAAGCTCAAGTCCCCTCACTTGTCCAAGACAAAGTTAGTACAGCAATAAGGCGGCTTAAGAAAAATAGAGCCCCGTAGGCCACGGCATATCGGCTGAGCTGTTCAAATCCAGCTGAGAAAAGTGGGTTGGGTGCATGTACCAGCTGTTAAGCATAATTTGATCTGATAAATGCATGCTGGAGGACTGCAATCTGAGTGTATTGTTTAACTCACGAGAACTGAGATTCCGCCATTTACGCCAATTAACCTGTCGACGATAATGTGTGAAGCTTTTTGTCGATCTTAAAGCCGCTCTTGAAGGCGCGGAAGTGCCATAGAAACGTGGACGATGACGAACAAAGTTGGGAAGGCTTTGGGTGCTTTCGAGAGAATAAGTATACCCAAGATCACAGGCCCTGGAAGGACGAGCTTTTGAACGACATAGTTGATGGTTGCAGAGAGAGTTAATAAGTCTTGCTCTGCGATAACAAGACCAGGTAGAGAAGTAATTGGATTCACTTGGCATTTCCAACTGGCATTGCCACAGAAAGGAAATGACTTGCTCATTAGCAAGGAGGGATATCTAATATCACTAGAATAATTTAGTAGGTATGCATATCGAGTTTCGCAAAAAATCGCCCCTTATGTTCAGGTCCAGCTCTGTAAAGAAGTAATTGTGGCGAGTTACGCGAATTTCGTTCTTTGGCGTTGAAAAGGCAATACAAAAAATGATTATTCCTAGAAAATACTTGAACTCGTATGCGTACATATGAACCAACCTTTATGATTTCAAATTCTTACATAAAAAAAACATATATTTCTTGGCTGCTTGCAAAACACTTTAATGGGCTTTTTTTCCCCCATTCTCACGCCATTCGTACACTGATTGCCTTTGCATATTTAAAGCTAATCTGTATTGCAGTAGGTAAGCCATAAAGCCAAAATTATAAAACTAATAACAAACAAATGAAAGAAGAAGAACAGCAAATAAACAATAAGACGTTCAATGATTTCGTAACGATAATTCTCGAATATGTTCCCATCCAAAGAGGCAGTGCGGCGGCGCATTAAGTATCTACGCCAACCAATCATTTAATGCATACAAATGTGGGTGACTGTATTAAATCTCATCCCAGTTAAAAGCGGATATGTGCACGAATAGCATTGAAGTGTAGATATGTATGTATGTGTGTGTTTGCATGTGGCTATGTATTTGCATTTCGTATAATTTGCTAATTTGGTACATTGTTTCGCATCTTAATGAATTTAATTGACGGGTTGTGGTTGAAAGGACTTTGTGTATGCACACATCCACCGATATACATATATACCTAAATGTTTATGTATATGTGTAGCATCTTGAAGAATTCGTGGCTGTTACCTTTTTTTGGGCATTAAATTGTTGTTTGTTTTTTTTTGGAAGATTTGCAAATTTTGTTTTTGATAATGCACCCGGTTTGCATTCCGAGCAATTTTTAATCGTTTTATGTATACATACGTAATTTTTGCACAAAAACCAAGCCACTGCATTAATTAAAAGCACCATTTGTGTTATTTCTTTATGTGCATGCTAAATAATAAATGATGAACTGATATTTTCGTGACAATTAAGATTTAATTAAACTGGATGAATTTTTGGTGTGTAATTATTTTTATTGTTATATTTTTATACTTTATTTTTTCTGTAACAAATATTTATTAACATTTAAAGTGAACCTTAAATTAATTAAAACAACCTGTGTGGATGTGCTGGACGCGCTTACATAAGCTAAATTTTTTGTTTTTTTTACAAATATAATACAGTTATTTAATGCATCGTAGGGTTAATGCTGTCTCTTCATTTTGCGACTTCGTTTCGCAATTACACATATGTAGCTTAGGTAATCAAGACTAGACGAGTTCTTCGATCGCCAATTTTACTCTTTGTTGCCAAGAGTTTTATTTAAGCTTTCTCTTTCTCTCCTTTTTCTTTTGGTTCCTTAGTTTTCTCGGATTTCTTTGATTTTTCTGCCTTCGCCTCCTGCTCCTCAGGCTGCTCTACTTCTTCAGTTGCTTCCGCTTTTTCACCTTCCTCGGACTCAACTGGTTTCTGCCCATCTTTAGCCGGCTTCTTCTTGTCACCCTTTTGCTTTCCACTTTCCTGCTGCTCTTTGACCTCTTTTTCTACCTTCTCTGATTTCTCTCCCTTTTCACCTTTCGTTACTTTTTCGCCTTTCTCACCTTGCTCTTCCTTTTGTTGCTTTTGCCCCTTTTGCCCCTTTTCACCTTCGCCTTTTTTGCCACCAGTCTCTTGTGTCTCTCCACCTTTACCTTCTCCTTTTTTGCCACCTGTCTCTTGTTGCTCTTCAGCTTCAACTTCACCTTCAGCTTCAACTTCACCTTCAGCTTCGGCTTCCTGTTCTTGTCCTCTATGTGAGCGTACCGTACGTCTCAGCTTCTCGGATTCCACAGGTTCGTTAGGGTGATCAGCTGCAGACTTAGCAGCTGCTGAGATTTCGGAGGGTATATTTGTACCTATTGGCACAAAGCCATTCTTGCCGGCGGTATAATGTACCTCGACCTCTTGACCATCGGCATCTATGTAACGGTACGAGCCTTGCACTTCGAGCGCCTCATCCTCGGTGCCAGCATTTTCTACAACACCAGACTCCTGGCGCGCGCTATGATCGCCACCCTCGTAGGCAAAACTGAAAGATCCATCGGGTTTTCTATCGGTCTCGTATCTCAGTAACGGTATTATTACGCGTTTCTCTGTTGTCGTTTCAAGTAAGCTGCCGATACTGGCTGCATAGGCCGCACTCACCAAAGCTAATAAGCATAGCTGCAATGCAAAAATATTGAAAAGAAGAAATTATTTAAAATTCACCAAGATATTCTTTTTTATTTCGAATTTTTAAGTGCCTAAGCTTAAGTGCTTAATTAATATATTTTCTTTCGTTTATCAAAATCAATCAAACGTGGTATGCTTTCATACAACTTACATATTTATACATATTTTTAATATTTTGTCAAATTTTTCAGCACTCGTTCAACACTCGACAAAGCTCAGCTTCAAACTTATTGGAATCTTTAAACTTTCGTCACTTTTATACTTAAGGGAATTTTGGCACCATCCAAATTAGCATCACTTACACTTGGTTCTTTTCCAGCAAAAAAAAAAGAGATACATATTATCATAATTTTTTTATGTATATTATTATTATTTTGTTTGTGTTCATCCACATTTGCATATGTGACTCAGGCAAAAAAAAAAATAAAAAATCAAAACAAACGAAATAACAAATAATATAAGAAGTATAGCTGCTCATTAATATTATCACTTATTGTTCGCATAATACATACACATACATACATACATGCATTCTTGAGCGCGGCCATATCTCGATCAATATTCACGAAACCAAACTCTTATTTATGGGGGTAACTCATTCGCCCGTCGCACAGTGGTTTGAGAGTGGCACAACGACCAAGGTTCGAAATAGCAAAAATATAAAAAAAGTTACTCAGGGCGCGAAATAGTACGTTTTTCGTTGATGAGGTATAAACATATCGATCATGTTTGTATTTTTCTTCGTCAGAAAACACAAAGAGAGGCTTCGCCTTTAGCAGATATTAGCGTGGGTAGACTAGTTTTTGAGCTCTTTCGATACTCACATCAGCCTTAGGAATGTGACAACGGGAAATAGTCAGCAGTTGCAAGATGAAACTGCTGAATTTCTACACGCATGGGTCGAATGTCCCATGCATGTATGCGAATGGAAGTGTCGGTGGATGGTTCTTTCAGGTTGCAGGACGCCAGCATCAGGCAGAGCTAGCATTAACGAAGCAGTCGAATGTCTGTTAAAGTACTCGACTTTTGCAAGGGAATTTTTCTGTTTAGACTCCTTTGGGTACCCGGACATATTGATATTGCAGGGAATCGCGTTGTGGAGAAATTTGCCAGGAAAGGTACGCTGAAGTTGTACTCCCGAGTAAAGATTGGGAGTACTTTTTTTGGTTAGTTTTTTGGGAGGATACTTAAGTATTGGTTTTCACGCGATGGATGGGGCTAAATATCACACCGAGTTGCCACTGTTTACGAAAAATATTTAGTTAAGTACAAAAAAGTTGTTCCTTACAAGAATGCATAATTTTTATCTTAAACATTGCCACGGTTATGAAGTTATAACGACGACCAGAAATATTCCATTGGGCAGGGCCTGGTATCGAGCCCAGACTCCGACTAATATTAAAAACAAAAGAAAGTAAAATGCTGCTGCTAACAGCGGCCTCGTAAAAATATAATCGGTGTTCGGGGTAGTGGGTAGTGGGTCCCTCCTTGTGTTACAATATCAATATCAGCACTACCCAGAAGATAATTTAGGTAGGCCTTCTTAAGGGCTGAAAAAGTGCTTCCTTGCATGCCTTCTAGAAGGGCTTATCCATATACAATTTACGTGAATGCATAAATTTATATTATTTAGAGTTACAAATGAATTTCAGGAAACATTTTAAGTTGCAATAACACGTATTTAATATAAACCCTAAGCAAATACTTCAAAGATGTATGATTTTTATAAATTGAAGTAGCAACTTTAAAAGAACTCCTCCAAAAGGCCTTCGGAAGTTAATCCTATAAAAGCCCTTCTGGAAGGTTTTCTATGGGTAGCGAAAGAGAAAACCCTTCAATTTGTGCCACTCCGTACAAAAAAGAAAGGGAAAAGAATGTAGATTGGAGGGCCTCTGTACTCTCAGAAAGGCCTTTCGGAAGGGCTTTTAACTCCTTAAATCATCTACTGGGTAACCATCCTGATTTTAAATATTTTTCTCGAGTGATCAAAAAAAAAAGTACAATATATTGTACATTTACACTGAAATAATGTAAGTGTCTGGTACATTATATTGTACAGACGTCCGCAAAGGTTGCAGTTGAAAAGGCTGAAGATGGAAAACCCGGGAAGGTTTATTCTAACGGATCAATTGTATCTGAAATTTTTCAAAATTTCCTTATATCATTCTCTTCTCATGGATTAAATTTCTTAATGCGAATCTTAACTAAAGATACTTAAAAAGGTATAAAATATTCATTCCAACATATATGAAGTAAAATCAATTATTTTGTACATACATAAGCTCATTTTCAATGAAATAAAAGTTTTATTCCGTAAAACTTAGTGAAATATATATATTCAGTTTTCTTGAGTGCTTTTACTCCTTTGCGGACTTTTGTACAATATATTGCATAAATTTGTGATAGCCCTAATACATACCCAAAACATCTTTTGAATATTTGTTTTTTGCTTTTGGTATTATGAGGCTCTATGAACTTTGTAATAAAGGGGAACAACTTTTATATTTGCCAGGGACGGATTTGTACGGAAAGGGTTAAATTTACGATACAAATGGAATTTAATTAAAATCCGATAACAGTTTACTAATATATCATATTTCAGTAAAATTGGAGCAGCTTTAGTACATTTAGCGACAGATAATATGCGGATATCCCACTGTGCGTCGCACACTCACAGTTGGCCGAGCGGGTGCGAGAGAGTTCGGTTTATCGGTAAAATTTTAAAGAGAATTTTGTGTTAAATAATCCGTTATCGCTTCTGCTACCCAAAAATCTTAGAACATGTACGTATATCTACATATAAGTGTGTTTCATATCGGATTCTTGTTTTATCTCAGGGCGACCGATTGCTTAAAGATCTTACACTTCTTTTGTTCATCATTTGAAATTTTGTATCGCCTCTCTTTTCAAATTTATTTTAAAGGTAAGGAAGTATATATATAGCCGAAAAGTTTTTAATGAAGCATATAAAAACTAAATTTAACTCTGTACCAGTTTTTTGAACATTTTTTAGTATCCTACCTGTGAGTGACGTACATACATATATGTACGTATGTATATTTAATAATTCACGTAACCTAATGAAGTGTTGAAGAGCTGCTGACCAAAACTGGTTTTGTTGTGGAGTATTATTTTTATCTTTCTACTTCTTTGTTTTTCATGCCTTCAACATTTAAATATGAGATAAGAGCTACCTTTTTGTATGTACATTGAGGTGGTCCTTAAAATCAAATGAATGATTTTTTCAGTCTTACTCCCTCAATCAGTAATATCACGGTCACAGATAGCAGATATACATTTTGGTCACGATTGTAGATGATGTAGATTTTTTTCATATAATACCCATAGTCTGGTCAAAGGAGAAATGACGCAAAAATTAAAAGTATTTTTTAAATTTAATACCCAAAATTGATACTATTAAATTCGAGGATATCACATATAAATTTTGGGCCCGATTGGAGTCGGATAAGACGTATTCATAGAGTAATCTGGACTTCATCCCATGAGCGACACGCCTTAACGGTCTGCAATCGGGACCAAAAATTTGAATGTGATATCTTCGACTATAGTAGCATCGACTCAGAGGCTGAGGCTTAGGAAATCTGATGTAAAAATTTGCTTCCTACATTTAAGGAACACCCTAATGTACATACGTGAGCGGGTCTAAGAAGATTTTAGTTACTTATAATTTATTAAATGTTTGGAATAAGTTTTTTTTTTTTTTGAAATTAGCGAAGCTTGAAATCGTTTAACAAATTATGGGTAGAATAAAGTTTTTCCATATGTTGTCGAATTATACTTAATCATAAATAAAATTGTCGATGAATATGGCTAAATATGTAAATTTGTAATGTAAATGTAAGTATATTTTAGTATTTACCTAAATCGTCTAATTCAACCTTTTGCTGCGTTTCTTTGGTGACTTCACATATGCTAATTATCTACATACAATACCTGGCGCATGTAAACAAAAGTTTTAACCAAGTGTGTCTTAATTTTTACTGGCGTCCATTGTAATTTATTGTGGAACGATTTTCCGTCATTCATTGCCAAACTAGGTTTGGAAAAAAATCAGTTTCGACGTTATGCTATCTTCAGTGCACCAAATTGGAGAAGGGACGGCGGAAATCGTTTCACAAAACATCATTTTCCTACCCTGAAAGAAAATCGAACAACCGAACAGAAAATATTAAGTTCTTCGAAAAAAATAATCATTTGTTCCAGAAGTAATAGATATGCCTTTAGGAGTGAATTTTGAACATATACAAACTGAATCTGATGCTTCTGAAGACGAATTAAATTTTCATCATGCATTGTACCATTTTATCATTGTTTCTTTGTCAAGTAACCTTTATAGCCCGTTACTATATCAATATAATTATCAATGTACAATGATTTGGTTTTTCAGGGTTAATAACACGAAGTAAGTGAATAAATGGAGATAGGCGGGCACGCGGATGCTCTGTTTTTATTCTTTTTCACTAAATACATATTTTACAAAAAGTTAAAAAAAATTATTTTGTTAAACAGTGTACAGTACACAAAATAGATGAATAGTTTTTTAAAAATTATATTATATGTATGTATGAACCGTTTGGATGAGTCTTCATCAAAATCGATTTTTAGAGACAAGTTCTCTCAATGCCATACATTTCATGAAAACGGATTTTACATATGCCGAATCTTCAGTGGCTGCTACTTTAGGTTGCGTCGAAGATCTTTCAATACTTCGGTAGACATATGGCAAACATTGTTCTCGTTAAAATTACGGTACCAAATTTTCTGGGGTTACCCAAGAGCTCAAGCTTACCATTAACTATGTAGCTCATGGACCTCAAACGCAGGCATTTGAACTACTAGGCGTGTTCGATGACCGCCGGTCCGCTCAGTTCGCAATACGGTGTTTGCATGTGTCCAAAGCAGTAAAGGCATGCTCTAAAGCAGCCGTTAAGTTGCCTTTAACGGGTCGATTTTTGTCGACTGGAAAATTGACTGAGAAGTCGATAAGCCAAAACACTTATATTTTACGCTTGAATTGCCATTTACACTGGTCGATTTTGGTTGAACGACAAAAATCGATTAGAAAATCGTTCCGTGTAAAGGCAACCTTAAGTAGTAGTCTCAGTGCTGCATGATAAGCCAAGAGCCAAGTGTCGATTTTTAGTAGCAGCCAACCAGACCTTTGTTGCGTTGTCCCACCTTGTCTGCCACTCGGAGAACCCCATCGTTGTTGTCGAGAAGCCAATTCATCCTTGTGGAGTAATAATTTGTTGCTATGTGGAGCCCTTTTATTTTTTGGAAACGCTACAGGTAACACAATTGCGGTTAACGGTACAGAGCCATGATAAACGATTGTTTTGTGGAAGGAAATTGAAGGCATGGACTTCAGCAATATTTTGTTTCGGCAGGGTGGCGTGCCATGCCACACATCCCATGCAATATTTAATCTTTTGCGCACGAAGTTCGGTAATCGTGTTATCGGAGCTGCGATTTGACGTCGTTTTACTTTTTTGTAGTGGGTTGTTATGCGAACAATCCATTAACGATTCAGGTCACTAGGATGAACATTTAGCGAGCCATTCATGAGATAGAGTCAGAAACCGTCACCGCGAACTTGGAAAACTAGGTGAACCTATTTCATAAATAATTGGAATGTTTGCTCTTTTGAACCAAGCAATAACATACCGAAACAAATTATTTATTTTTTTTAATTGTTTTGAATCTTTAAATATAGGGACCACCTGTTACCTGCCTAGACAGCTATCTTGAACCACCGATGTTCGCCATACATCCAGAAAGGGCTACGGTTGCCATCGCTGCTTTCCTGTTTGCGTTTTGATAATGGTCCTGGAAGTAAAGGCGGTAATTGATCAGGACGCATCGATATATCTAAAATGGCTTAGACTTTCTAATGTTATAACTTTTTCTGATTTATAATAAAACCAGCTTCCATTTTGTAGGGTTGCTGGCGATATCAAGTTTACGCTTAACCAATCGTCGGCTGCTTTTATGGATTTCACCGCAAGGGCCACTACTTCGGCAAGTATCTTTGCTGTTGCAACGTCCACAAAGCCCATGGTATTAATTAGGTATTGCAATACGAAGAATGCTCTCACACATATGGTCTCGTAAAGTAGGTCTAACCACAGATTCCTAAGGTACACCCGCCCGCGTCGTACTCAACTCGATAGTTCTAGTTTGTTTTGGTGTGTGTATTTTGGAACGGCCCTGCAGAAAAATTTAGAGACACTCTGGCAAAGCGCTAGTTCCGAATTAAATATTTCAGAACTATCTCTGAACTAGTGCAAAACGGTTACAGGCGGAGCAGTTGAAACTTGTTGTGTACAAATACTCACTTCTCGTACAATATGAAAGTAGCTCAGCGAGAAGACCTCAGACTCAGGCATCGTTGGACGCGAGTTCAAATCGCGGTGGAGGCAGTTGTGAGTTTTCATATTAAGTGAATTTAAATTGTTGCGCGCCGCTTACAATAATTTTTTTTTTTATAAAATGTGTAATAAACAATGGAATCTGTAAAAGAAAAGAAAAAAAAACGGAAAAATATCCACAAACCGAATCCTAAAAACGTTTTCTTAAAAAAAAACTGTCCGAAACGAAACCGGTTAAAAACTAGTTGCAAAGTAATGCACTTGGCGACAATTTCCTCCGCCAATGAAATCGCCGTCTAAAACTGGACTGTTGAAAGCATTGCTTGGCTATTGAGCTAGAACTAGTACTGTCGGCAAAAGGTCTAGTTCTGAGTCAGTCAGATATTCTGCAGGGGCAGTAGTGCCGCAGTGTTAAACAAGCTTGTGTGCATCATGTCTAAAATACATATGTACACACATATATTCTATGAAGGAGGTTATCGCAAACATGTAATTTCAATTTGTTTATTATACTTTATTCAGTTAAATTTTTTTTAGAAAAAATTATAAGATTTTATCTTATATGGAATAATACAAATTTAATGAAACAACATGGAAAGGAAAAATAACGGTGCTCATAATAGAAGCAATTAGATGACCGTAAATTGGACAACCGATGAAATGTCCTCATTAACTGTTTTGTTTAGTTAAATATATCAGCGCTGAAAAATCTGCCTCAGAGTGAGTTTAAAAGACTGCTTTAGGGTGAATAGCCCAATAAATTCATACAAATTTAAAGCTATTGTGATTCTTTTTGTTTGAAAAAAAAAAAAAAATATAGCTATCGATATGTATAAAGATAGATTGCAACCACCTCAACACTAAACCCAGCTATGTATTTAAATATATGCAAATTCGCATGGAACATGTGTCGTTTAATAGTTTATCAATCCACCGATCTCATTATTATGCTAGCTTTCTTTTAGTTATGCAACACACTTACCTAATAGCAGTTTGTTCGCTTAAAGTAAGCACTCTAAATGCTATTCTTTCATTTGTTATGCGCAACACATTTCATTGCCAACTAAAAGAAATAAAAAATAAAAAAATAAATAAACTGTCTTTTTTTATTTCATTCGTGTTTTAATTCTTTTATTGGGTGTCGCAACATAAAAATGTGAATCTCTAACTTATGCTTAGAAATATGTATGTATGTACATTCGTAACTCATCGCTTTAGTATTTATGAATACTATACTTGTATAGTAGACATATAACAAAAACTTATTTTACTGCTTATGCAAAAAGTGTCTTTTCTTTAAACTAAAAAAATACTATTAGTCGAACCATCACCCGTTCTTTCTTTCTCCGTTTGTTTGTTTTTAGTTCTTTAATATTTTTGTTGTTTTTTTTTGTTGTAGTTTTTTTTTCTCTCTACGCATTTACACCGATTTCTTTTTTGGCTCAACTTCTTCCTTAGGTAAATCCTTGGCAGCCTCCGCAACAGCTGAGATTTCTGCATTGATGATCGAACCATAGGGTACGAAACCATTTTTGCCAGCAGTGTAGAACACCTCCACTTCTTCACCCTCAGAGTTGATGTATTTGTAAGATCCTTTAACTTCGAGTGCTTCATCTTCGGTACCCTCATCAACAACACTAGCTTGCTCCTGGCGACTGGTACCATCACCACCTTCGTAGTGCACATCGTATGAGCCATCTTCGTGCTTGTTCATTTCTGATTTTAAGATGGGCACCACTTCGTATGCAACTGGTGGGGTATCGGTTGGGGCTGCTGAGACAGCAGCGATGGCGAGACAAGCAAAGAGTGCCACCTGAAATAGAGGAGAGAAAGGCAAAAATATTTGAAGAAAGGAGTGAAAAGTATAGAAAAGAAAATATTGATTTTAAAATCTGTGATTTGATTTCCGTGTTATGAAAACATTCAGTGAAGCTCTTTGAGTACAACTCCACAACAAGCTTTTCAGCCGTTCCGCGCTTTTCAAGCTTTCGGCGATAGCTGAATTGTGTAGCTGAAAGCCTGCGAAGCTTCGAATGCCTGGAAAGCAGATAATACAGATAATACATAATTATAATACATCGGAGTATAGAATATTTCTTTGTCAAGGCCGATTTATTAAATACTAGCACTGCTGCAGCTCCACTGGATTTTTAACTGAGATTTAAGAGAAATCAACAAGGCCCTTTGTTGGCCTGAATAAGACTAAGGTTCAGGAAAAAAGCCGGATGGGGCAATTAAAAAAACACTTTAATAGGAGCGTAAATCCTTTTCCGGATATATGGCGGGAGAAGCGATCCGTTTCTCGTCACAATCCACATCAAAGTGACAACCTTTATTATCTGTTTTACTTGCGATCACAGTTCGGCAAAACAGAAGTATCAAGCGGCCAAAGGCGAGTGAATATACTTAGGAGATCTGTGCCCATCAACAAATTTTTAAAGATCGTCTTATTTCAGAATTTTGTTGAAAAATGCCCTAACTCAGCAAATGGTTCAAGAACGCCCAATCTCAATGTAAATTCAATATATCGGCAGCTGAGAGAGGGAATTTTTGAACCATTTGTTAAGATAGCGAGTTCTTCAACCAAACTTTGAGTGAGATAGGACGTTTTTCAATCAAATTCTGAAGTAGGGCATCCTTGAGCCATTTTCTGAGATAGAGCCACTTCGAACCGCCTGCCGAGATAGGTCCATCTTGAGCTCAGCCATGCATATGCTCTCTAAAATCGCCTCTCAACAATTCCTACTCAATGCAAACCACCGTCGTAGATAGTTGGATTTTAGCTACCCCGAAACGTTATCAGACCATGGCGTGTTCCGGCAAGTTTAACCACGGCCACCCAGCTGTTCAATCGATGACGACGGAATCTATGTTTTACGGCCCGACTATGACGAGTTGCAAATTACGATTCTGCGGTTGAAAAACAACAAAGCTACTGGAGCTGACGGCTTTGCAGGCGGAGCTATTCAATTAATGCGGCGCATGCTTCAACTACTTCAGCATAATTGTGTGAAAGACTAAATACCGACGGCTGCACGGCTGTGTAAAATGACGTTGAGCACTACAACAAGCTTCATCCGGGTTGCAAAGGATCTCTCTGAACCGTTCGATAGCAAGCGAGGATTCAGACAGGAATACTATCTATCGTGCGATTCCTTAAAACTGGACTTTTATTGATTTTTCCTGAATTCTGAACACATTTATTTATTTAAGTGTTTTTATTTCATAAATTAATTTTTATGGTTTATATATTCTAACTACAAACCTACTATTATACCTGTTTTTGTATTACAGTATTCGCCGCTTATTTGGCCTCTGGTTAATTGGTTTCCCCCGCTTAATTGGTTAAAAATATGCGCTATCGGAAATAGATATACCTTAAATTTTCCCGCATAATTAATTCCCGGTTGACTTTACCAAAAATTATGCAATTTTTGAAGTGCAATTGAGCGGGGAATACTGTGATAGTATTTAGTCTGTACAATCCACATGCTGTGTGTTGTGCTTATTTTGTAGATGGTGTGCGATATGAGAAGGGGAAATTTGAAAGTGACATAGTAGTAGTAGCAGAGCAACAAACTGCAGCTTTCACTTCAAAGTTGGGACACGTTGCAAAAATGAAAACACAGAAATCAAATCCACATGTAAACTTCAAAGTCGTTTTCTCGAAAACATATTTTCGCAACTTCGCTCCCTGTTAACTTTCCCTGTCACATAAATATACGTAAATTTCTTCACATGCTTTAAGTCATGAAAAAAGTTTATTGTTTTTCCGACTTGATTTTTTGTAACAAATTATATCATACAATTGCATTAAATCACTTTCACTCTTGTTTTCATTTTTATAATTAAAAAAAAACAAATTTCACATAAAAAAAAATACCAATCACAATCTTTTATTTTTAACACTCGATCTATAAAACTTACGAATTTCACCATTTTGCGCCTTGTTTTATATAGAAAGAAATTAAAATTTTAAATAAAAGCGAGAGTGCAAAATAGAAAAAACTGCGATGAACCCAAAACCAAGAATGTTAGCCATTTACTCCGAGCAACAGGCTTTTATACGAATTTTATAAAATTTCATTCAATTATTTAAACATGCAAAACATGTTTCACATCCTGTTTTCTATTTCAGATATTTGAGCCAAAAAATGCCATTAGACACCCATTCGCCACCACTACCCCGCCATAGAGACCGTGTGTTGCTACGCTAGCCGCACGCAGCGCTTCTTTTGGCCAGCACTAATGCTACTCTTTGGAGCATTAACTGTAAAATTTGAATAAGTTAAATAAAGAGAAGCGAAATAAAGCAATCGATTTTTTGTATAAATCTAAAATAATGTACAGACGTGCTTGCAAATTTTTAAATGTCAGCATTAAATAATTAAAGCAAACAATTTGGTGAATACGAAAAGGCGACAAATGACACTGGCTGAGGAGCTGGGTGTGTGATGACAGCAAGTTAAAATTCGCTAGTCGGCGCAAGAGATAAGTTATGATATTTTCTGGTCTCTTACCTTTTTGGTCGTGCCGCACACACACACACAAAAACCAAAAAAAAACAACAACAAATACTTGTAAAACATGCTTATGTCCGATATGTCTATAACAACATCACAATTGCAAAAGAAGTCACAATTAGTAATGTTTTAGCTTTCAAGAGCAGTTTAGCTCGTAGGTGTGTGGAAAAATGTACAAGGAGTACATATGTATGTATGTATGTATGCTCCAAATTGCTCAGCCAAAACCAAAACGAACGCATTGCCTGTCACTTCAGCTGTCGCCTCTGTCGCCTCTGTCGCCTCTGTCGCCCCTGTCGCATGTCAGCAAACGTCTTCATCTTGATCTTCATATCTACTTCTTTCCGCCTTCTTTTTCACGAATATGTACTACACTCCCTCTTCAAAATTTCAGAACATCTTTGCATTTGCCTGCCAACAGATTTATTAATAACGCGCGACTCTGGCGTTTACGTGCGAGCTTTACTAATTTTTTGGCTGATCATTAAATGCGATTTTTTTGACTTGAATGTCGCCAAGGTGAGGCGCGTTGCGTTCCAGCATGTCAGCCAGCCAGCAAGCATGGCTAATAGCGCTCCATTATCGCACTTCTTTAAAATAAATACATATTAACACGTCGATTGAACATCTTTTATGTTTAGGTTTTATTTTTTATTCTGCAACGTAAACATTTAACGATAGATGCTTGCAGATAAAAAGGAGAAGTTTTGTACTGCGGAAGCTCAGCATTTTATTTTACTGTAAGAACAGATTGACAGCGGCCGCCAAGTGAATTGGGTATGCCATGTAACTTGGGGGATTTTTGATTTGCTTGTGGTATGTGTCAAATTTTATACAGCTTGAAAGTGAGATTTATGTTTCTTAGTAATAATGACTCATAAATTGTGTCAGGGATTCACAAATTATAGTAATATCCCAAAGTCGTTAAGTTTTGTATGTAAAAAAAGTTAAAATCAGGGACTTTAGCTTGAGCAGAGCTTGACTTGATGCCGACTTTTAGTTGAAGTTTTAGTTAATAACTTGTATTAATCGTCCATGAAAACGTTGGAAATGCGAAAAATTCGGTATGTTTCCCATATTTGGACGCGTTTCTAGTGAATCTGCATCTTTAAATTTTTAATAGGATGGCAGAATTTCTCCCAAAGACGTTGAAAAATTTAAAGGAAAATATTCTTTGCAATTTTTATCCTACAATAACCTTACATATATTTAGATGATTTAAATTAAAGTAGGATTATACAAATTTAAAAATCTTGAAGGATATACACATTTTTAACATACATTTTTAACATGTTCAAAAAGCATAATTGAAAACAAAAGTTATAATTAATCTCATCTTGAATTTTTCTTTTAATTTATACCCATCTACGTACATATATACATATGTATGTACATATATAATATGCGAAGGCTTTTTTGTGCAGCATAAAAGATCTGCACCGTTCGTTCGATTTCGGAAAATGGGGTGTCAAATAGAGTTGTCAAACTATGGATAGTATCGATAGTTTCAATTTTTTTAGACTATCAATACTCATTGATAGTTTTTTCTTATACTATCAAAAATATCGATAGTTTAGTAGGACTATCGATCATATCTCCCTATTTTATTTACTTTATACATACATATGTTAATCGCAGATCCTGTTTTGTTTGTATAACCTGTGTTTGTTTTTGAACTTTCTAAAAAGAGAAGTATTTTGGCTAAGCAATTACTTAATTCTGAATGATTATAACTTTTATAAGATAATATCTATTTCACTATGATCCTGTAAAAACAAAGCAACCTAACTGATTTAGCGCTATCGATAGCGTTATCGATAGTTTTGTTTTTTCGAGACTATCGTGAATATTGATAGTTTTTCTGAAAACTATCAAAACTATCGATGGTGTGACTATCGATAGTTTGACACCTCTAGTGTCAAATTAAAGCGCCTTCCCTGTAGATGTGCAATAAGGTTTCACTTTTTCGCCACCTGTTAAGAAATTAAGCTCAAATTAACTAAAAATTTAAATCAATCGAAAATGGTTTTGAAAATGCTTTACAACTTAACTACGTATAGGAGGGTTGCCACATGTTAAAAAAATGTAATTCAATTTTATTTTTAATATTTTTATTGAGCTTTTTACCACGATTGTTTATTAGGAAAAATTGAAAAAGCAACAAAGTCTAA